TTAAGTTCATTTTCAGACCGTTCATTGCTAGTATACAGAAGTACAATTGCTTTTTTCATTTTAATCTCAGGTCCTCAAACTTGCCAAACATGTTTAGTTCTAATAGCTTTTTGTATGGATTCCTCAGTATTTTCTACACACAGGACCATACCATCTATGGATAAAGACAGTTTTACTTGTTCCTTTCCAACCCGTACCTCCTTCTTTGTCATGAGCAGACTGGCTAGCATACAATGCTGGCCCCATACAATGCTGCATAAAAATGGCAAGAATGGGCATGCTTGCCTTATTCCTCAGTTTATGGGAAAAGCACCCAGTTTTTCACCATTAAGTATGATGTTAGCTGTGGGCTTTTTGTAGATGCACTTTATTAGATTAAGGAAGGTGCTTTCTATTCCTAGTTTATTAAAAGTTTTTCCAAATAAATAACAATTTTAAAATGTAGAGTGCTTTGATTAAAAATTTTTACCAAGTGGTCAATCTGACAATGTTGTAAAAAGTTAATTTTTTCCTCTTTGCTGTGGTCATTGTGTCCTACACAGAGGCTGGACCTATCTGAATGCATGGCAGCAGCTGCACCCATATATAATCCACACAATCAGACTAACAAGGTGGATTATATATGGCTCTAGGGAAACCTGTTGTTTCTATACCAACCATTTGGGTATTATTAGAAACAGCCTTGCATCAGTCAGAAAACACATTAAAAAAAAAGAAAAAAGTCATATAATAATAATAAAAATTGGTATGAAAATCTTTTTCCTGGTCACCTTGGATAACGAACAATCAGTCAAACTCCTTGTTTTACATTCTAAGTACAACAAATTAAGTACTTGATGAAGCAATGATTTGATTCCTCCCTAAAGAGGAGTTGGGAATGAAATAGAGCTTCCTACACCCTGATAACGTACACTATCTGCTTCTGTAGAATTGCTTGCTTAACCTAAGTAACTCCACTTTGCCTCCTGTCTGACCTGCACACTACCCCCCCCCTTCTGCATGAAAAGCTACTGACCTTCTCATAGAAACAAAAAACAATTGCACAGAAACAGGAGCCATACACAGTGAATTATTACATGGGAACAGGAACCACACACAATGAAAACTTGTAGCTTCATTGCTCGAATGGCTCATTCTCGGCCTTTGTGACCTAGCTCCCTAGCTTGCTTTGTGCACCTGGACAAACCTGTGTGCCAACAGGATGTAGTTTTTGCCTCTAAAAACCCTATAAGACCAAAGCCCGAGGCGCTCTTCCTTGGTTGCTCCTTGGGAGACGGATGCTGGCCAGCCGGAGTGAATAAACTGCCCTTTTCTGCACAAGTGGTGTGTAAGTGCATTTCTTGTGGGAGGGTAACACACAACAGTTTCTTTTATAAGGGCACTAAT